ACTTTCATGGGAAAATATTCACAAAGAATAAAGAACCTCTAAATTTAGTTATTTATAGCTGTCAGATGACAAGTTTTCTAATTATAGCCATTCATAAACACTCATCACCTTAAAGAATGCCAGTGTGGTTTTTTTTAGATATATTGGTTGATTTCAGAAAGGAAAGAGAGAGAAACATCAATGATGAGAGGGAATCATTGATCTGCTGCCTCCTGCACTCCCCCTACTGGGGGTTGAGCCTGAACCTGGGCATGTGCCCTGTCCAGGAATCAAACCATGACATCCCAGTTCATAGGTCGATGCTCAACCAGTGAGCCACGCCAGCCGGGCGACCAGTTTATTTTTAAAACAAACTAAAAAGTGAGAAAGTAGGGGTTTATTTTATGTAACAGTGCTATTATAAGGCACCACTTGATATGTGACAAAGCCAAAGTGTTTCCAAATCATGTATTTTTGTTACTGTGTCTTAACCATTAGAATGGTTGGGGGGAGGTGGTGGTAGTGGGGTTGAGGGGAATGACAACAGGACCTACTTTCTCTAGAATATATTGAGACACAGGTTAAAAGTTTCTCAGGTAAATTCATGGCTAGAGCAAAATTAAGCAAGAGCTCAGAATTTTATATTCCCCCCCCAAAGCTGATTTCTCAGATGGTCACAACCAATTAAATATTTCAAAATATGTCCTTAGTCACTGCTATCATCATCATCAGCATCATCATCAGATACATCATTTAAAGGTGACTTCAATACCGACTGTAGGAGTCCGATCTAGTAGGCTGGCATGTGGCCATGTCCCTGGTAGAAAGTAGGTCATAGCAGAAGTTACAACTCCACACAGGCTTAGAGGGCTGTCTGGGAAGAAAAAATCCCTTTTCAGAGCAGGACCCACAGACAACAAAACCACATTTGCAGCAACGGTGATGACAATTAAAGGTGTGAGTTTTGCTTTCTGTAACAGTTGCCTCAAAGTCAGGAACCCAAACAGCATGTTCATTACTGGGTGTCTTCCCACTTTTGGAGAATAAATCGTAACATTAACTTATGTGATTCATCCATTCTGATTTCTCAGTGGCAGTGGCAGCATAAACGGCAGATGATTTAGTTGGTGTCTTGAGACGCCATCCATTCTGTAAGTCTTCCTCATCTTGGATGGAATCAATAGTGACATTTTCCAGGGGAATAATGTTATATTTTTTCGACTGGATGACAATGTTGCCATATACAAGAATGTCATTAGCCCTAACCGGTTTGGCTCAGTGGATAGAGCGACGGCCTGTGGACTGAAGGGTCCCAGGTTCGATTCCAGTCAAGGGCATGTACCTTAGTTGCAGGCACATCCCCAGTAGGGGGTGTGCAGGAGGCAGCTGATCGATGTTTCTCTCTCATCGATGTTTCTAACTCTCTATTCCTCTCCCTTCCTCTCTGTAAAATATCAATAAAATATATTTTTTAAAAAAAAGAATGTCATTAAACAAGAAAAACTGCTGCCCTAGCTGGTTTGGCTTGGTGGATAGAGTGTTGGCCTGCGGACCTAGGGGTCCTGGGTTAGATTCTGGTCAGGGGCACATGCCCGGGTTGCGGGCTCAATCCCCAGGGGGTGTGTGCAGGAGGCAGCGGATCGATGATTCTCCCTCTCCCTCTCTGAGATCAATAAAAATGTAAAAAAAAAGAAAGAAAGAAAAGAAAAACTGCTTTGCTTTGGCTTTTTCTGCACAACTTAGTCAATACTCTTCCAATAAGAACCCCTCCGGGTATAGTTAAGGTTTGACCAGCTGCTACAAAACAGTTTTCTACTATATTTATACATCTAGTATTTGCTTCGCTGTTTGCCAACTGATCCACCATGTTTTGCTAACACCCTGGCTGGGTGTGAGCGGCAGTGGCACTCCCCAGCCCAGCCTCCCACAGAGTGCAGGCATGGCAGGTAGGCGGGCAATAGGCATAGCCGCTGCAGGTGACTCCCCTGCCCCTCTAGGCGAACCCCACTAGGGCCACCTGGGCTGGCCTCTCTAGGCACACCGCCACCCACACCGGCGATTGCCATGTCTTAATGTGGTGTATGGCTGAGTCACATTCATAGTGTGCATACTGACCAAATCATCAATGGTTGAGACTTGAATATTTAACCAAGTCCTACACTGCAGATTACCATCATAGGATATAAGCTTCTAAAGTATAGGAATCAATTTTATTCAAAAATTATAACTGTATTACGTCAGTTGTATTTAAAATTTTTAATGTAGTTCAGAATCATTAATTTCTACCAGGCAGTGAAGAGATCTTAAGTAGAGCAGAGAGCAGCTCATGATACAGTTACTATCAAATTACTAAGATTATGAGCAACTATTAAAAGCATTTCCTCTTTAGTAACTCCTGGATTTGGGGGTCACTGGTGATAATCAAATTTCATTAACGTATTCTGACAAACCGAAACTTCATGCACTATTGAATGAGGTTTTATAAAAAACAACAGCACTAAGATATGTTGCCCTTGTTTATTTTATTTTAAAATATGTCTTTATTAATTTTTTAAAATTGATTTTTAGAGAGAAAGGGAGAGAGCTAGATAGAAATATTGATGAGAGAAACATTGATCGGCTGCCTCCTGCACAACCCCTACTGGGGATCGAACCTGAAACCTGGGCATGTGCCCTGACAGAAAATCAAACCAGTGACCTCTTGGTTCCTGGGTCAATGCTCAACCACTGAGCCACACTGACCAGGCAGATTTCTTTCTTTTCTTTCCTTTTCTTTCTTTCTTTCTTTCTTTCTTTCCTTCTTTCTTTCTTTCTTTCTTTCTTTCTTTCTTTCTTTCTTTCTTTCTCTCTCTCTCTCTCTCTCTCTCTCTCTCTCTCTCTCCCTCCCTCCCTCCCTCCCTCCCTCTCTCTCTCTCTTTCATTCATTCTTTCTCTCTCTCTCTCTCTCTCTCTCTCTCTCTCTCCCTCCCTCTCTTCCTTCCTTCCTTCCTTCCTTCCTTCCTTCCTTCTTTCCTTCCTTTCTCTCTCTCTCTCTCTCTCTCTCTCTCTCTCTCTCTCTTTCTTTCTTTCTTTTCTTGAGAGAGGATGACAGAGGGAAAGAAACATCAATGTGAGAAAGAAACATTGATTGCCTCCCACACACACCCCAATCAGGGATTAAACCTGCAACCTGGATATGTGCCTTGACTGGGAATCAAACCCGCAACCTTTTGGTGCATGGGTTGATGCTCCAACCAACTGAGTCACCCTGCCAGGACACCCTTATTTATTTTTTATCTAATGTCTTTTGCATTCACTTACTGTCTGTAAACCTTGGTTCTAGAAATGGAGAATGTAACTGGCTCTCAAGATGAAAATATAGCTTCTGAATTTCCATTTGCACGTCCTCTTTAATTGCATGTACACCAATTTTAGCATCCCCCCTGCAGTAGAAGAAGGATCTTTATAGCAAATATCATGTAAGAAATATTTGCATTCTAAAAGCACATTCACACTTAAACTGATCGATAGAATTCAACATATAAAGCACATGCCAGGGCTGACCAGCAGACCCTGGGTGACGGTTGAATGGATTACTCGGACACAATGTTTGCTGTGAAAGAGGGCTAAGGGACTGCCTGGCTAAAGGAACCGGGTAGCCTCGATTGCCTGCCTTGTTAGGCTTTTATTGTAACAGCAGTTTGAGATAGGAGAATTTTCACTCCCAAGTTATATCTAAAATGTTTATCTTTATTTGAAGGTGAATATTCAATCATTAATCATAAATCAGGATGCCATACTAACTAGGTATGACCATAACCTATGTAATTACATGGTCATTGATTGCAAGTTGTGGATGCCAGAAAGCACGCTGAAGTTGGCATTCAACTGTTAGACCTTATAAAGGCCGAAACTGAAGCTGAGGAGCAGATAAAGTACAACTTCCCAGGCTGAAACTGAACTTCAGTTCATTCTTAAATCTTTCCTTTGGCCAAAATGTCCAAGGGTCATTGTGTGCAGCTGGAAGCAGGGCCCAGCTGGCAGAACTTGAGATGGGAGGGAAGGGAAAATTTGACCTTGGCTGTTAGTAGGGGTTTTGTCCAAAAATGCTGACTGGAGTAATAATGAGAGCTAACCTTTATCCAGACGTCACTATGTACCAGGCACCACTAAGAGTTGTGTTGTTATTTTTGCCTTTATGACAGAAAGTTTTATTGTTAATTATTTATCTTAATAGTTTCAGAAAGAGGTACACATTAGCTCAGTCCAACATGATTGGCAGTTGGCAAAATCTAGTAGAGCAAGTGTTCTGATTGCTAAGGATTTAATTTGAATGCTTTTAATATTTAGCCATCTAACACTTCAAACATAGTCCAGAATAAAATGCATCACCCCCCTCCCTGTCACTTTAATATCCCACCTACCTCACTTCAATATGGAAATATCTTCATTAAATATGATTCCCAGAGGAACGAGTTCTCTGGAGAGGATAGCCACAAGGGCAGTGCACAAAAAGAAAAACTGAAAACTCTGTATGATAACTTACTAGTCTAAGGAAACAAAAACCTTCCCATATATTAAGAAATCAATCCAGTTAGAAATGCACTACTAGGTCTATGAGAAGAGGTTCTGGAGTAACAGCTGAAAATGGCCGGCTATTTACAAGGTACACAAGCAGGTACGGTGCACCTGGCCCAGCGCTGGCCCTCAGAAGCCAAGTGTTCTCTCCACCGCAGGCCACATGCAAGAGTCCACCTTCCTCTGTGCCTTCCCGCAGAGTTGCCCATAGTTAGGCTGGGCTGCGGGACTGGCTTATCCACAACAGGGGGCTGCCTTTTCGGAAGGAGCTGGACCCGTTCCCTGATGATCCTTGTGGACCGAGCCCCAGTGAGGTCAGACGGAACCAGACACTTCCGTTTGTCAATGGCAACATCTGCTTCACCGCAGCGGCGGGGCAGGGACGCAGCCGGCTCCGGAGCCGCGGAGCTCAGAGCACCAACCACAACGGCAGCGGTGACTACGGACAGGCGGGACTTCCGGCCGCCACAGCCTAGCCACACCGCTAAGGTCTGTCTAATGAAATCCTCCAAGTATTGCTCACTTAGTCCTCATAACAACCTTACAGGATGATTATCCTCACTTACTGATGTGGAAACTGAAGCTGAGCAAAGGTGAGTGACCTGTACCATGTCACACTGCAAGGTCGCAGCGGAGCTAGGATTTCAATCTGGCCCAGAGCTGTGTGCATATCATGACAGTGCTTCTCAGATCTCTCAGATAGGAATGTGACTTATTTTTGTTATCCAGGAGCATTAACATTGCTTTGCACTAATTTAACTGCAGGTCAAGGAGCAGAAAACACAGGGCTTACAATATGCCACTTGATAGTAGGCGTTTTCCTGCCCATTACCTCAGTTAATCAACACAACCAAATTGCTCAGTAGGGATTTTCTAGATTTTCATAAATGAACGAGGAAAGTGGCACAAAATTATTGACAGTGATGAAATTAAACTCTACGTCCTTTGGATTTCTAGCCCATATTTCTTCTACTGTGCCATGCTTTCCCCAAAAACACTGAAAAATATTTCCTTAGTAAGAAACAGTGGGTGTGGGGGTACCATGTCAACTTTCTCTTCTCCCTGATCCTAATTTATTTCTCCACTTTTTCTCTCTGATCCTCCACAGCTTAATATTTGATTAAATTTGATTCTACTGAATCAAATTTCTTTCCCGGTCTATCTTTACTCTCCCCTGCTCTGCAATATGTAATAGATAGTATGTCACATATTGGTATACCTTGGGTTTGGTTGCAGACCACTGCAATAAAGTGATTTATAATCTTTTTGCTGGTGGAGGGTCTTGCCTTTAATTTGTACAAAACAACACACACACACACACACACACACACACACAAAACCCAACCAAAAAACGCAAAAGCAAGCAAACAAATCATCTATGAAGCACAATAAAGCGAAGTGCAATAAAATGAGCGATGCTTGTTCTCATTTTACTTGTGAGGCTCAAACTCACGCTGTATTTACTTTCTCTGTTAAGAAAAAGGACGTTTTGGTTAATTTGTGAAGTGAACCCAGCTGTTGAAGTGAGATCGACTTTGGAGTCCATAACACCTGGCCTCGTATTAGGGTAGAGAACTCTGTAGATATAATTGATTGATTTAATGATTTGGCCTTTATGGAAGATGAACTTATTTTCAAGATGATAACTAGTACTTGAATGAAAACCCATGGTGCAGCAGTGCTGGTAATAATGGAGCATTTCAGTCTTTTCTAGCAGGATAGAGCCTTAGAAATGATCTAGTATTAGTTCAATCTCCTCCAGGCTTAAGTAATTTAACCAAGTCACAGAGAAAAAGATGTGTGGAGACTAGAATATTATCTTCTTGATTCTCAGTATAGTGCTGCTTCTACTAGTACTGTGTCACTAGTTACATTGTCATAAGTCTTAGTCTTAATGAACATTTACTGATTCCTGGTAGGATTTGGGGGTGGATGTGGGGAAGGATGCCATGGCATCAAAACAACCTGGGATTTGAATCCCAGCTCTAGCACTTGTGGGCAACATCTTTGATATTTTCTGAGTTTGTTTCCTTAAGTGTAGAACTGGAATAATCTGCATGTCAAAGAGCTATTGTGAATACTGAGGAAAATGAGACTGTGTATACGATTTGATGAGCTTGGGCTCTGCCATGTTATAGGCTCTCAGTAAATGGTGGTTGTTTTTCTGATATTATTACGCTATTTGGTTTTGCATCTTATAAAATTGTCCTCAAGAGTCCATTGTGGTTTTATGAATAGAATAACATCACAACTTACATTCATAAGAATGGGACTCAGCCTGTATTCTAGCGCTGGTCTGAAATGCTATCTTACTAGTAGATGGGAAACAGGCTTTTTTTTTTCTTATGTAACTTTAACATAAAGCAATGCTAAAATTAATGTTAAGCCTGCTCTCTACTATATAAACTTTATACTGTATTTTGTGTACTATATACAACAGATGTTAAAGATGTCAAATGTCACTGCAATACCCAGAATTTACACAGTTGCTCCCTGGAAGCCTCTGTGCTTGTCCTCATGCTGTTGCCTACCTTGGGAATGGAATGTTCTCATGTTCTGGCTGGCAAGCTCCTGACCATACCATAACAGTGAGTCCAACATCACCTCCCTTTTTCTTATCACATTATCCTCTGTTTCTTCTGAACCTTATGGATGCTTTTATGATCGTACTTATGGAATCATATTGCAATTGTTACATGTCTGTGTCTCCTTTGATTCTGGGAATGCCTGAAGGCCAGGGCCATATTTGTTTCACCTTTCTGTTTAATCAAACTCCCAACCCTCCACAGCTCTCAGAAAATATGCTGTGAGGTGGAGAAGGCTGATGGCTAGACAGATGCTACAGACCCCATTGGTGAAGGTGCCCTTTGCTTCATGTTTGAAGTAAGTGGTTATTTTTCTCTTTATTCTTGTGGAGGGACAGGGTATTATGAAGTACAGGGAGATGGGGATTTCCAGCACCTGCAATGGAGGTAGCTCAGTGGTGACACGAAGAAGTGGTTTCTGATTTCTCCCAGTGATGCGATTCACAGGTCTGGAGTATTTTGGAGAGAACATTGAGAATCAGAGCTTATATAAATAGGCATGAAGGCAGGAGGTTGACAAACGATAAAAAGGGGTTCCATGTTACAGAAAAATGATTTTTTCCCCCTGGAAATGGAAGTGAAATACCAGGAGCAAAGATGAGGGGCCGCCAGAGAAGTTACAGTGAGGGGCTGCTCAGGTTGTTGTCCTGAAATAGAGGAATGATCCTTGCAGTCTGGTGACTCACCTCTCACTCCAGTCAGTGCTTCCTGAAAAAGGCAGGAGCTCTGAGACACTAACAGTAAACTTATCCCTTCGAGAAGCACCTCTCATCCTCAGGCTGGTCTGCTGATCTCCTCATGCCCCCGGGGCAGGATTAGAGGCCTTGAAATGCTGCCCTATCGGTGTGACTTCTCATCTCTACTCAAGAACGCACTGGCAGCTTCCCTTGGCAGCTGATCACACAGCGAGGACCGGCAAGGCTCTTAGGCTTTCAAGACAGCAGGACACCCTTGGGGAATAGGCCTCTTGCTGGAGGTCACAGCACCCAGAGAACGATTGCAGTGGTTCTCAACCTTCCTAATGCCGCGACCCTTTAATACAGTTCCTCATGCTGTGGTGACCCCCAACCATAAAATTATTTTCATTGCTACTTCATAACTGTAATTTTGCTACTGTTATGAATCGTAATGTAAATATCTGATATGCAGGATGTATATTCATTGTTACAAATTGAACATAATTAAAGCATAGTGATTAATCACAAAAACAATATGTAATTATATATGTGTTTTCCGATGGTCTTAGGCGACCCCTGTGAAAGGGTCGTTTGACCCCCAAAGTGTCGCGACCCACAGGTTGGCGACCCACAGGTTGGGAACCGCTGGATTAGAGGGAGCAGCTGATCATCTCTCCAGTGAGTTCTGCTGCTCCTGTCACTTCCAAGCCCAAGTCCAAGGCTTGCTGGCAAGTGAACTAAAACCGTGGCTCCAGTCTGAAGGATGGCTTACACAGCTCAACTATATACTCTCTTCAGCTGTGAGCCATGCAACCTGCTAGAAAAGCAGTCTGGACATTTGCAATCTACACAAAATTTACAGTTGGGGGATAGCTCTGGTGAATCCCCCAAGGCACTCTATGTAAAACCTGTTGTAGGAATTCTGCTTTGCTTCGTCGGACCTTTGGAGGTAGAATTCCTAAAAGCAGGTACAGAGGGTGAGCCCTCGGAATGAGTTTAGCTGTGGCTCGGTGAGAGGGAGGCCACCCTGAGAGCATGTGCGGTGTGCCACCTGCATTCCTTGGGGGAACACCCAGGTTGAGGTGCGCACAACATGCTCGGACAGCTGCCGTGGTGGGGCTCCCAGCTTCTGCGATCACATCTGGGCTGGGTTTTATGGTCCTTTACAGAATTTTATTTATTTGAAGGGAAGGGTAGGGAAAAGCTAGTAAATGCTCCTGTGGGCGCTGGAGGGACCCGCCCTGCACAAGAAGAAAGAAAAATAATTACTTGCTCTCAACATGAAGCAGAGGGCATTGCTGCCAACGATTTCTGGAACATCTGTCTAGCCACCAGCCTTTTCCACCTCACAGCATATTTTATGAGGGGACCTTTATTACAGGGGGGTTTGTTTCATTACTTTTTCAATCTTAAAATTAACAATAGAACCCTTCCTGCCATTCCAAATAGCTTCAAGTCCACAGCGACCCAGCAAGGAGGAGAACACAGTATTGTGGCCCTTGGGAAATGCGCAGTGTCCCCAGCGTTGGCTGCAGTGGGCAAGGGCTTCTGAGGAGTGATGTCCTATATAATCTGCTCTCTGTTTCAGTCGGGAAATCAGTCTCTTTTCATTGATTTCCCAAAGATTGATTTGATAAGAGTTTTCATTTGAAAAGCAATGCTTGAGTAGGAAAGTTAAAGAAAGATAAATTTCTAGCTTTAATTCTACCCATCCTGTAGCATTACATAAGGCAGACCTCAGAGATACTGTGGGTTTAGCCCCAAACCCTGCGGTGAAGGGAGTAGTAATCTTTTTGCTGGTGGGACGGTCCCGCCTTCATTGTAGAAGGTGTGACATCTGTAAAACGCAATAAAATGAGGGTGTGCCTGTATCTTTCCCAAGTCCCAAACCTCAGCAATGTTACTTCATCTCCCTCCACGTTCCTTCCCCATTCCACACAATTATAAAACTCAAAAGAGTAATAAGTTATGTCATATTCTAGCATTGATTCAACAAATACTGTTAAATACCCGCTATGTGCCAGGTACTGGGGCAGAATGATAAAACTAACTGACAACTAACAACAGTTTAGCTAGATGTCTAAGCTTACCTGTCCTATTCACCACTTTATTGTGGGGAGATATTCCTCATGGGGCTCCCCCCTTCGGTGATTGCACACTCTGATTCCAGTATGTGGCTCCTTCTCCCTTGCTGCGGCTGATTAGATGAAGGAGGAAACTTAATCCAAGGGAAGTTAGTTCAATGACTTGAAAATAGTGGGCCATTTTTAAAAAAAAATTGAATTGATTGGGGTGACACTGGTTCATAAAACCATACAGGTTTCAAGTGTACAACTCAACAAAACATCATCTGCACACTGCATCATGCGCCCCTTGCTCCAAAGTCTCTTTCTGTCCCCATTTCCCCCCTCCTCCACCTACTCCCAATCCCTTTCCCTCTGGCTATCACCACACTGTTGTCTGTGTCTAAGTGATACACACACACACACACACACACACACACACACACACACACTAGAGGCCCAGTGCACGAATTCGTGCATGGGTGGGATCTGGCTGGCCCACCCCCATGGGGCCCATCGGGCCAGGCTGGCAGGAGGGAGGGGTGGCAGCCGGTTGGCCAACCAGCCCCGCCCCTGATTGGGGTGTTGGGGGCCGATCTATTGCTGGGCTGGTTGGGGGTGGGGCCGATTGGGCCTGGATCAGGCTGGTTGGCTGCCGCAGTGCGCATCATAACCACCAGTTGTTCTGGTTGTTCCACCATTCTGGTCTCTGGGCTTTTATATATGTAAATATATATTTGTTTCTTTAGTCCAGCCACCCCAACCCCTTTCCCTCTGTAAGCTGTTTCTATCAGACATTTCTCACGTAAATTAGAATCAAGGCTGAGGAGTGTCCTGGCTACTTAAACCCAAAGTCTCATGGAGTCAGAACCAGGAGAGCCATTTCCAGGTTTCCTGTGCTCCCAGATTCTGAGGGAGGGGAGTGTCAGAGAAAACTGCTCAGGTGAAGAGAACAGAGTGGATGCACAGGGAAAGGCAAAGAAGCATGAGAAGATGAGGATAAGAAAACATCCAGACTCTTCTTATACGTGAATTAATTTGACTAGATTTCTGTCTCCTCAGCCTAACATATTTCCTGTGCAGAGACCGTCCTCAGTGACTATTTATGCACAGGGCATGGTGACCTAATTGCTTGGTGTGAACATGAAGCAGATATGGTCCTGACATCACAGAGTTCACAGATGAGTGGAGGAGGCAGATTTGACACATTTGATCTTGACCATAGCATGTGTCACCACCCATTATCCAATACAAGAGGCAGGTGGTGAAACAAATGACTAGTCAGTGTGGTAGTGTCAGAACCAAATATGGGCTCAGGTGACAATTTCAATGTTATTGATCATGACCAATGGATATATAAATGCATTAGGAAAATTAGCATGATATCATTAGCAAGTAAAATAAGTCACGCTTAATGAGAATTCAACTTTGGCTGGATTTCCCTCCGTCCCTTCTTCCTTCCTTCCTTCTTTCCTTCCTTCCCTCTTTTCTTCCTTCCTTCCTTCCTTCCTTCTTTCCTTCCTCCCTTCCTCCCTCCCTCCCTCCCACTTGCTTACTTTCTCCCTTCCTGCCATCCTTACTAGCTCAGTCCCTCCCTCCCTCCCTCCCTTTGCCTCCCTCCCTCCCTTTTCCTCCCTCCCTCCCTCACTTTTCCTCCCTCCCTTCCTTCCTTCCTTCCTTCCTTCCTTCCTTCCTTCCTTCCTTCCTTCCTTCCTTCCTTCCTTCCTTCCTTCCCTTTCTTTCCTCCTTATTAAAATCTGGCTACAATATTATGCTAGTGCATGTATTCTAATTTGGTGCAGAGCATGCATAACAAAATAAGTGAAAATCTATAAATGTTAGAACACATATATTATTTATTCCAGTGACTAAGGAATACTAAATCATTTTGTCAAGTTGCACTGTAACATTCAGTTTTTATCTTTTATAGGTAATCTGCCAAGCATTTGCAATTCTGAACTCTGTAGAATGTATTAACTTACAACAATAGACCATGGAACGTGTTAAGTATAACTTTCCTAATTCATACTTCTGTCTTTTGGTGAAAAATGCCTCTCTCAAATATATTACTTTTACAGTTCGTTGGAAAAGAGTGCTGAACAACAGGATTATTATAATGTGCTAAGAGATGGCACTTGTATCTCATTGGCATGTAGCGAGCTCATGTGAAACCTCTTTGATCTTTGCTGCCTTTTTAGCTGAAAGGATTTGGAAATCTTTTTGGCATTGGTAAAGACAGAACTCCGGTGGCTATTCATAGTTGGTGAATTTTTAGCAATGGATAAGAAAGTCTTTGTTGAAATCAGTTTATTAATACATAATGGGCAACATGTTGCCTTAAAGGCAAACACATATTTTTCTCATGTCAAAAACACTGCCCCACTTTCATCAACATCCAAAGGTATTTAAAAGGGGTCTACATTTCCTTTTTCCAGTATGCCCAATGCTGAAAAATAGTACTGCAAACCTCGGAACTTGAGCAGTTTCTTAGGTAAGAGGAATTTTTCACGATGTAATTGATATCATGACCACTCAGCTGGACACAGGCTTTCAAAAGCTGAGTGCATTTGCTGATTTGTTTCCATTTCCTACTTGGACTAAAAGAATTCAAAGACGTGAAGAGTCTATTGTGAAAAAAATGCGTGAATAATGCGAGGGGCTATCACAGTGTACCGATGCAGTTACTGCTTTCTAATAAAATCAGGAAAAACTTGAATTGAAAAAATATAACTATCCCAAATTTATGGAGGCAGTTATAAAAGGGCACACGAGGGAAGGTTTACCCTGAAATATATATTTTCAATAAAGTCTTTTTCTCATCAACTTCATTGAGACATCATTGATGTTTAACATTATGTAAGTTTAAGGTGCACGATGCGTTGATTTGATACAGTTATGTATTGCGAAATGATGACCACTGTGGCATTAGCGAGTGCATCATGTCACATAATTACCATTTCTTTTTTTGTGGTGAGAACACTTAAGATCTCCTCTCTTAGCAACTATCAAGTATATAATATAGCATTGTTTACGATAATCACCATGCTGTACATTAGATCTACGGAATGTATTAATCTTAGAACTGGAAGTTTGAATCCTTTGACCAACATCTCCCCATTTCCACCATCCCCACCCCAACCCCTCCCCATTCTCCTGGTAACCACTATTCTCCCTCTGTTTCTATGACTGGCTTTTTATTTATTTATTTTATTTTATTTTTTTAAAAATATATTTTATTGATTTTTTACAGAGAGGAAGGGAGAGGGATAGAGAGTTAGAAACATCGATGAGAGAGAAACATCAATAAGCTGCCTCCTACACACTCCCTACTGGGTATGTGC